AAGTGAATCGCCGCGCGGACGAAAGTAGGTCCGGCCGGCGGTGATGCAAATAGTGCCGGGAAATGCCGCGGGTTTCCCGATGGGTCCCCCTGGCGAAATAACCGGCAGAGTGTGACCGGGGAGGGAGCCCCAACCGGAGGGAGGGGGCTGGACGAGGGAAATTGTATGAATACTTAGTTAACAGGGAGGGACCGGCCACAGCAGAATAAACACAGTAGAATAAACACAGGCAGTGTAAGAAAAATAAGTGGGAAAAACAGAGAAAAGGAGGGATAAACTGTCTAAGGAGTATCCCCACAGTAATACCACAAAGATATAAATCTAATAGCTATAAATCTCTGAAACATCCCACAGTGTACACATACAAATGAAATTATGAGAGTGTACTTATCTTCTGAGGGAGCAGCGAAGAAAGAGGAAGAAGCATGGAGTGCTACACCTTATATACTAAGGGGGTGGATACCTATGAGCACTGTTCCATGTGCTAATGTTATTGTTATTTTTTCTCTCATTTGCATATATCTCTCTTCGCTGCTGAGGGAGAATTAAAGAAAGAGAAGCATAATAGGAGCCTCCGTGTCTTTAATAAAATAGCAGTGCATTTGTACGTTACCGCTAAAAATAAACAAACACTGGTTGCATCAGGGGTACCTGTGTGAGGAAGTTAAAGGGACTATAGAACGACTATAGCTTAATGTGGACGCTCTAAGAGACTGTCCATGCAATGTGAACGCTGCCTTGTCAGAGAAAACGATAAACATTCCCGGTAGGGTTTCAATCAGTCAATACATCTCAATGAGGAGATACGTATCGCGGCAGTGCCTCAAATGCTGCGCATGCGCACTAGTCCACCCAAATGCTTCTCTACGGGGAAGTTACAATAATAATAATAATTTTATTATTTATATACAAATTCCGTAGTGCCGCACAATGGGATATAGTATTACATATAAATTAAATTCAGGGGGGCGTGGCCGAGCCGTCAATGAGACTGGACGTGTTTCGGTAGAGCTCCGCAGCAACTGTGCCTAAAGCATTCAAAAGCGACCTCAAAAATCGTCTAACTACCCCTCACGGGAACCTCCGACATGGAGAAGAGACCCCCTAAGAAGCAGGGGAAAAAAACGGCCGACATTGGGACCTCCAGCTCCGTCCTAGACCACTTCCCCATGCACAAACAAGGCCGTGCAGGAAGTCAAGATGGCGACGGGAGCTCCCCACAAATATCACCGAAGGCGACCAGGGATGCCCCACTCCATGACCAAGATACCGTTTTGGCCAAACTCGCTGAAGTCAGGGCCTTCTTGGCAGGAGAAATAGCCAACTCAACGGCAATTCTCCAAGCAGAGATAGGGGCCCTGGGAAAACGCACGGCCATCTTGGAAGAGCGCATGGAGACCACAACGCTAGCCCACAACGCGCTTATAGATCGAGTAAACCGTATGACCTCACATCTGGTGGAAACTGACCTAACATTAGAAGATATGGCCAACCGGTCACGGAGAAATAACCTCCGCATTCGGGGCCTCCCTGAGGAGAAAGACGAGGATTTAAAGGGGATACTACTCTCTGCCCTGAAGCCTCTCCTACCCGCCTTATCGGAGGAACAGTGGCACATGGAAAGAGCACATAGAGCCCTGAGACCACAGAAGATCGACACCAACACCCCGCGGGACGTAATCGTCCGCTTCCTATACTACAGCACGAGGGAAGCGCTGATGGGGAAAAGCCGGGATGCACCGTTACGGTACGCAGGGGCCACATTATCCTTATACCAGGATCTGGCACCGTCGACACTTCAACGACGACGAGAGTGGAGGCCTATCACAGCAGCCCTACGAGACGCAGGTCTGAAATATGCCTGGGGATTCCCCTTCAAGCTTATGGTGTTCCGGGGAGACCGCTCACACATCCTGATGCCGGGAGGGGATCCCCAACGCTTCTTTAGGAACCTCGGCCTACAACCACCCCCCCGACTTCCAGATATCTCTCTGCACCCTACCGAGCTCCAACAACTACAGACAGAGTGGCAAGAAGTCGGAGCTAGAGGCCATCGCTGAAGCACTGTGGGTATCGTATAATCACACATCACACAACACCATCCACCGCCTTCTACCCCACCTCATATTCCACGGAGACTGTTCAGTTTAAATTAGTTCTCCCCCCGCTGTGATGAGAGCCGACACTAGCCCCCTTTTATCGTACTCTGACTGGAACTCTAAAGGGAGTCACATCGAAACCTGCCCTGGCTAGTCCCCCTTTCAGCCAATCCTCCATTCTTGTTTTAACTGTAGGTTCAATATTATGTTACTTTATGATACATGCCAGTGTCCTACTTTAAATTGTCGAGGAGGCTAATACGGGAATGGGTCTGACCCCCTCACGACTTGCTTTGGGAGGGCTGTGGGGGGTACCGCAATAGGCTTCAAGCAGCCCTTTGCAGGACTCAACCTGACAGCTGATCCCACAGGCTGTGGGGGCCCCCGGGACTTTTTACCAAGGTGGAGGCTTCATTGACACCCAGGCCTGATGGGAACCGGATCCGCCTAATTTTTTTGGCGTGTAGGCCTGCATCACTCTACATCATCTCGTTATTATTTCTCTGAACCACAGTAATATTGCATATCCCTTGATATCCTGAACGATGTTAATATTCACGATCCTCTTCCTGCTGTACGGGGGGGAAAGGGGAAAAAAAGGGAGAAGGAAGAAAAAAAAAAAGGGGGAGGGAGGGGGGAAAGGAGAGTTCTTGATGTTTTATACAGATGTAATGTTATGCTGGGGTACATTAGATAGATAGAAGTGAAAATCGTTTCGGTTACCTATACTTTACCCAAGTTATAACCACCCCAGACTCTTACCCATGTCGGGTACCATTCTTTAGTCCTATCTAAAACCCTACCGCTGTAATGATCTCATCGATCTCCCCCCCCCTCCCCGTCCCGTGGTTTTCCTCGGAGATCCTTCTCCCGCGACACCATGCTCCCTCTATACAGTGGCAGGCTCCCAACATCTATCACCCCTGATACTACATATATATAGCAGAGAAAGAGGGGGGACCATACTCTTACAAAATTTCACACATACACCCAAAAGAAAAAGGAAAAGAGGAGGGGAAGAAAAAAGGAAAAAAAAAAAATAAATAAAAAAATAAAAATAAAAATAAAAAAAACAATAAATATATAATTAATTATTTTCTAGGACCACTAAGACGCTGAATCTGTCTTCGATCCCCTCTGAGCCTGTCCTCCTAACCACCTACCAGGCGACCCTCCCTACATGGGAAGTACCCCCGATAGGAACCAGGACAAATCGGTTATACCCTCACATGCATGACCATACTGACACTACCAACCCGTGATCCCACGAACACCAACATCACACAATAGACGCATAGGATTGTAACGGTCAGGGTAGCACTTCCTGTATGTATATATCCTCACACCTAACCACTTGGAAGAAAAAAGGGGGGTGGTCGGATAAACACCTTGGGAAGAAACACCGGACAATTACAACGCGACCTCATGGACTGAACGCCTGAGAGAAAGCGTAGGAACTGGAGAGTCCCGCCTTGAGAGGGAGGGGATACGGGGCGGGGGGAGGGGGATCAGGGACGGAAAGAACCCTGCTGATCGCGCCCCCCAAACACCCACACATCAATAACCAGGAAAGACTGATAGAGGGGTCCCGATAGGACAAATCCCTAGTCATATACTACCTCAGATAAGAGAAATAAGAGGTCAACTTAAATTGTGTAGGCACACGCGTGACGGAACCCACATATCCCTAATCCCTTCTTACGTTGACCGTGGACGGGATGAAGGAACATGCTCCCAGAAAAACCCTGGCAAAGAGTAAGACCAGAGTTTCTACATCTATACATCTGACTCGATTCGGATGTCTTTCTTCTTCTTCTTCTTTACTATCCTCTCTTTTCTTTCCTATTTATGTGTGGTGCGACCTGGAGGAGCGGTGGAGGCGGAGGGGTGCCCGGGGAGGCGCAAGACATGACACTGAGCCAGACGTGGAAGGACCCGGGTCCCCGAACGGCTATAAAAGACCTAACCAAACACGTCGCGATGATTAAAATCACGTCATTGAATGTTAAAGGAATTAATGCTCCTAAGAAACGCCGCCTCATGTTTAAGGAACTAAAGAGACTGAAGACGGATATTGCCTACATCCAGGAAACCCACCTATCGAAACAAGCCAATGTAAACCTAAAAGACCACATCTTTCGAGGATCATTTGAAGCAAGATCACAATGCAAACGCAACGGAGTAGCTATTCTGATCAGAAACAGCTGCCCTTTTCGCAAGACGACCCATGAAACAGACCCAGACGGCCGATACATTATAGTATCGGGCATCTTGTACTCACATACCATACACCTGGTCAACGTGTATGCCCCTAACCAACCAGACCCCTCGTTCTGGACCACCCTCCGAGAGAAAATCTCCTTACTTCCACATGGCATGGTCTATATGGGAGGAGACTTCAACGCCACCCCATGTCCGGCAGCGGACAGGAGCACTAAAGACGGAACACCGAGATCCCATGGCAGGGGGGGACAAGACCGACTGCTCAAAAAATTTATACTAGACGTGGGCTTAACAGATGTATGGCGAGCGCACCACCCAGGAGACAGGGACTACTCCTTCTACTCAACACCTCATGGCACATACTCCAGGATAGACTTATTCCTAACTAACGCGACAGGCATGCCCAGGATTACAGGTTCGGCGATTGGCAATATATCATGGTCTGACCATGCGGACGTGTCCATTACGCTGGGAAACTTATGTTTGGCCTCGCCGTGGACGTGGAGACTAAACACATCCCTACTGAGAGACCCGGAACTCAAAGAACAGATACGGACTGAAATAGTGGAATACTTCACCACAAATAATACCCCGGATGTTAGCGCAGGGTCAATATGGGCGGCCCATAAAGCTGTTATAAGAGGGACCCTTATAAAACTAGCCACTAGGAAGAAGAAGATGAAACATAAACAACTGGAGACCCTGTTGGATCAATTAAGAAATCTTGAACAGAAACATCAAGCAACACCCGACAATGAGATCTATAAGAAACTGGTAGCGGTTCGGAGAGACATCCGCACACTCCTACTGGACGATACCGCTCAATCCATGATCTGGACGAAACGGACTTATTACGAGAAATCCAATAAGACGGACTCACTTCTGGCCCGAACACTGCGACCTAGACAAGAACGATCCCACATCACGGCCATCAAACATCCGGATGGAACGACGAAATCAAGACCAGACGAGATAGCCAAAGTCTTTGAAGACTTTTACAAAAAACTGTACAACCACACACCAGACGCACACACTCCTGACGGAAGTGAAGAAGACCATATTAACAGCTACTTAAATAACCTCGACCTGCCCAAACTAGGGAGAGACGCGGTGGCCAATTTGTCAGCCGAAATTACAGAGGAAGAAGTACATAGAGCCATATCTACCTTGAAAGGTAACAAAGCTCCAGGCCCGGATGGGTTCGAAGGTACATACTACAAAACCTTCAAAGAAGAACTTACACCCCAACTAATGAAACTCTTTGACTACATGAAACAGGGGGGACTCCTCCCTCCAGACATGACCCTAGCTACCATAGTATTGATCCCTAAACCTGACAAAGACACACTCCAACCAGGAAACTACAGACCCATATCATTGATTAATCAAGATCTAAAAATAATAGCAAAAATACAAGCTGACAGGTTAAATCCGCTACTAAACTCACTCGTCCATGCCGACCAAGTAGGCTTTATTCAGGGCAGACAGCTGTTTGAGAATACCAGAAGGAATATTGACCTAATCTGGAAACAAGTGACATCTAAAATCCCTACCCTAGTGGTTTCTATAGATGCAGAAAAGGCCTTTGATAGGGTGAGATGGCAATTCCTCTTTGCGGCACTAAACCACCTAGGGTTCCCGAAAGAATTTATAACTACTACAAAAGCAATGTATCATGAGGTGAGAGCACAGATACAGATCACTGGTGCCCCGATGACGCCTTTTCGACTCTACAATGGCACTAGGCAGGGGTGCCCACTCTCCCCACTCCTGTTTGTACTAGCGCTAGAGCCTTTGATGCAAGCGATTAGACAACATCCAGACATTGAAGGAGTTCGAGTAGGGGACAAAAAGTTTACAGTCTCAGCATACGCAGACGACGTTCTTTTGACCATCACGAACCCATCGACGTCTGTGTCGGCCCTCCAAGATGTTATCAAGGACTACGGGGAATGGTCTGGCTATAAGGCCAACATGCAAAAATCTAGTGCTATGCCGATTGGCATGACTGAGACAGACATAAATCACATACAACTGACCTACCGTATCAGGATGGAAAGAGAGTCTATGAAATACCTGGGTATACACCTAACTACTGACCCGACACACCTCTACTCCGAGAACTATGACCCCCTAATTAGGAAGTTGATAAGAGACTTAGAAAGGTGGTCTGATAAACCTATCTCCTGGATAGGACGAATTAACTCTATTAAAATGAACGTCCTCCCGAGGATTCTATTCTTATTCCAAGCTCTCCCAATTCATGTCACCAAAGCACAACTGAACCCACTTCAACGGTCGATAGCTGACTTCATATGGCAGAACAAGAGGCACAGGATATCAAAACAGATACTCTACAGACGAAAAGAAAGAGGGGGACTGGGCCTCCCAAATCTATACTTCTATTATCTTGCAGCCCAACTAACACAGATAGCTATGTGGCATTCCCCTCCGGAAGAGCGGAGATGGGTCGAAATAGAATCCATGATGGTGGGATGGGACATCCCCCAGTTCACTATGTGGATCCCGAAAGACTATCGACCCCTGATACGAGTGACTTGCCCGTCCATACTTAATTCGCTCCAAATCTGGGACAAAAACAGAACCAAGTACGGACTAGCGACCTCCCCCTCTCCATTGACTCCAATTCTAAGAAATAGAGAGTTCCAACCCGGTATGGCCCCTAAAGATTTCCGAAACTTGGAGAGAACGGGTCTACAACGGATCCATCAATTATATCATAATGGGAACTTAATCCAATTTACGGACCTCCAACAAGATAACCATCTGACTCCCGCAGATTTCTTTAGATATATACAAATTCGAGACTTCGCTAGGAAACCACACATAAAGGCTGCAGCTCAGGGAATTATGACGTTCTATGAGAAACTATGCCTTCACGAAAGGACCCCCAAGGGCATGATAACCCTAATGCACGCCCACCTTAGCACAGAAACCAAAGAATGGGGGAGACTATCTTACACCGACCAATGGGAGATAGAACTAGGAGAAGAACTAGAAGGCATAGAATGGCAAGAAATTTGGGAAGCAAATAAAAACGCCTCCATATGCGTTACGCTACAAGAACAAACATGGAAGACCATGTTTAGGTGGTACACAACCCCAGTAAAACTTTATAAAATGCATAAAACGGATACCGATGATTGCTGGAGGGGATGTGGAGCCCGAGGGACATACCTTCACATGTGGTGGGAATGCCCCAAACTTCTTGGATTCTGGAAAGAGACAGAAAACCTACTGAAACAAACATTTAATAAACCCCTGACCAGAGATCCATGGGTATACCTCCTAAACAGATCAGTGGACGGATGGACCAAGAGAGAACAGAAACTAGTCCATAAAATAACCCTGAGCGCAAGGAAAACAATAGCGACGAGATGGCTTTCACCAGACTCACCCGAGTTTCCGACAGTGATATCCAGGATCCGCGAATGTAGGATCATGGACGACTTAACAGCGAGAGTAAAGGGGTCGACAGAAACATTTCTAAAACTCTGGGAACCATGGGATAACAGTGTAATAGGTTCTAGAGAGGACAGATAGGAACAAACGAAAGATGTAAAGGGGTCCTTGCAGTAGAGCTAAACCAGTGGCAGAACCCTCCTACACAGAGATCCAACCGACACACCTGGCCTAGCGAGATCGGGATGAACCTGCTGCCCCCCCCCCCGCCGCCTTCTTCACGTACCTCCCTAGCCACCTCTAGGTCACTGCAGCCACCACACAATCCTCCCTTACCTTATACCACTTTCTCAGTCTCCCCTTCTTTCTTTTTTCTTAATTCTTCTCTTTTCTTTCCCCGCGCCTATACGGGGAAAATCCATTTCATATCCGCTACTTATTTTGCATACCAACCTCCTCAGACAAGGTCAACGTAACGAACGTAAAGGGAACCCTAGGTACCCCAGATAAACCTCGAATCAATAACCCTATACGTATATCAAAAGACCTACAAACATCAAACTACGGACTAGATAATAACAATATAGCTATATTGATAACGACACAGGACTTACACGATATATAAAACATCATATAGCCCAACGATAGACCTCAAATTACCGCTGGGCCAGGGACGTCTCTCTCCCACACCTAAGTATCCTAGACAAACCGATAAACTATACTGGGGAATTACACTATTAAAAATCCTTTAAAGAGGATAACCCCCATGGATCCTTTAAATACGAACACATACTGTAAAGATTGAAGTTCATGTGACTGTTAAGAGGTTACCCATACTTTGGCTTCTGCGTAAGCCCAATCGTTGATACTTGGTCATTATAGATGCAGATATTAAGTTCAATGTAGCAATTGCTAACAATGTGTGAAATGGAAGGTTAAATCTACTTGCTTTCTTGAGTTTACTTTTGTTTATTAAAAAAAAAAAATACAAAAATCGCCCAGCTTGGACCCAGAGAGCGATGATATATATAAATGAAATATCATATCTCTAAAAAATTATATATATAAAATATTTGTGCTCAGAGGTTTGCATACCCTTGGAGAATTGGTAATATATGTACCGCTTTTTAAAGAAAACATGAGTGAGCAGGCAAAACACATTTCTTTTATTTCTTGAGATTCATATTTAACCGTAGGTTATATCAGACACAATCCTAAAAAAAAAATATGGCAAACAAAAATGTGCATAATTTGCCTTAGTTCTTAATACTGTGTATTGCCCTGTTTAGCATCCATGACAGTGTGCAGTTTTTTTGTAATAGTTGTCCATAACGCTCCTAATTCTTGCAGGTGGTATAGCTACCCATTCTCCAGGTCACGCAGAGTCTTTTGTTGTCTTGCATGAACCGCACATTTGGAGGGTCAACTTGGCCTTGTGTTTAGGATTGTCATGCTGGAAAGCCCAAGAGTGTCCCATGCACAGCCTTCGTGCAGAAAAATGTAAATTCTCTGCCTGTATTTTCTTATAACATGCTGCATTCAACTTGCCATCAATTTTCACAAGATTCCCCGTGCCTTTAGATCTCACACCCTACACCCCCCAAAACATTAGTGAGCCGCCACCACACTTCACAGTAGGGATGGTATTCTTTTCAGTATAGGCCTTGTTGACCCCCTCTCCAAACATATCGCCTATGGTTGTGACCATAAAGCTCTATTTTGGTCTTGTCACTCCAAATTACAGTGTGCCAGAATCTGTGAGGCGTGTCAATGTGTTGTTGGGAATATTGTAACAGGGCTTTTTTGTGGCATTGACTCACCGAAGGCTTCTTTCTGGCAACTCAACTATGAAGTTCATTTTTGTTCAAGTATCAGCGTTTGTCCTCCTTGAAACAACCATACCATCTTTTTCTGGATCAGCCTGTATTTCTTCTGAGGTTACCTGTGGGTTTTTCTTTGTATGCCTAACAATTCTTCTGGCAGTTGTGGCTGAAATCTTTTTTGATTTACCTGACCTTGTCTTGGTATCAAGAGATCCCCGAATTTTCCACTTCTTAATAAAGTGATTAAGCAGTACTGACTGGCATTTTCAAGGCTTTGGATATCTTTTTATATCCTTTTCCATCTTTATAAATTACCTTGTTACGCAGGTCTTTTGAAAGTTATTTTCTGCTCCCCATGGCTCAGTACCTAGCCTGCTCAGTGCATCCATGTGAGAGCTAACAAACTCATTGACTATTTATACACAGACACTAATTGCAATTTAAAAAGCCACAGGTGATGGAAATTAACCATTAATTGCCATTTTGACATTTGTGTGTCACCTTGTGTATCTGTAACAAGGCAAAACATTCAGGGGTGTGTAAACTTTTGATCAGGGCCATTGGGTGATTTCTGTTATCATTATGATTTAAAAATGAGCCAAACAACTATGTGATAATAAATGGCTTCATATGATCACTATCCTTTAATACAAGACATATGTTTGCATGATCAGTGATATTTTCAAAATCAATACCATAATTTCACAATTTCTGCCAGGGTATGCAAACTTTTGAGCACAACTGTGTGTGTGATATATATATATATATATATATATATATATATATATATATATATACACGTGTGTGTGTGTATGTCCCCCGTTCTTGGCAGGCATTATGCAGCAAGAGCAGGACCTGCCAAGA